AGTTCCTTAAATCTCTTCTAATTTACAGTAATGCTCCAGATTCGTTTCAGCTCCCCCCGACTTTTATTTTAATCCCCTTTCCACATTTCCATGTGTTTATGTGTTAATTAAAGGGTAAAAAGCTACTCTCGGAGCAATCCTGGCTGCTGCTTCTCTTGAAGCCGAAGCCTTTTAAGATTAGTGAGCCACTTCCTAAAGCCTGATCCGGACAGGCAGGTTGCTCAACTTTCCATAGCTCAGAGCAGATCTGGTGCCTGGGATTGAGCTTCCCTGAGTCCTCATCTCCTCCCAGCTGTGCAGAGGAGCATCCCGCAGGACTTCTGGCAGATTTGGGGGGATTTGCCTTGTTTATACTCCTGCATCTTCTGCTGGTGCCCACAGGAGAGGCTGCCAGCAAGCCTGGCTCCTGCTGCAGGAGTGAAAGCTCTCACCGTGCTGCAGGGCAGCCCTCTGCTTCCCTTCAGTTTCTGGCAAGGCTGGAGCTGGGAGAAAGGGTCTGGAAAATCATTTTGGGGCTGGGATGTGGTGGGAAGGGTGGAAAAAGCCTCTGGAGCATGGTGGTAGCGAGCTGCTTGCAACCGCGCGGTGTCACCTGCCTCTTCTGTGGTTTGGTGCCGGGGACTTGCTCGGCTCACGGAGACGTGGGGGGAGTGTTTTCATCCCGGTGTTTCCCACTGTTCCTCCTTCTCGCTCCCTGTGGTCATTTTGTGCTGCGGATGCTTTTTGGTTTTGCATTTAGGGAAACTGAGGCCAAGGGGCACCCGCTGCCCTCGGTGTGAGGATGGGGGCTTGGAGACAGGGACCCGTGGTGCTGGGTCTGGACACGGCCCCGGCCCTGCCGGCAGCCCGCGAAGGGCAGCCCAAAGTTATGGAGCCCCTGAGGATCGTGGTATTGGGGGTGTTTAAAAATAGGAGAAGCAACTGAAATAGGTGTTCAGGCAGTTGCTGCTCAGGAGCTTGTGGTCCTGGCTGTACCTGCTTCTGCGAGTCCCAGGGGCTGAGAAGCTTCATTTAACTTTCAGGTCTGTGGAGCTCAACTGGGAAGAGAAGCAGCAGCTCTTTGGGTGGTGCTGGATGCCCTAAAGTTCATCGGGAGCGTTTGGGCAGAAATTGCTCTGGAAAGGCTCCTAAAGACCCTGCATCCTTCGGTGCAAATCTTTGCTTTGCGTCTGTCAGCTTGCTCACTTCTGCATTCATCCTCTCCTTTCTGCCAGGGCTGGGAAAAGTGCCGTGGAGATGCTGGGATCCGTGACAGTGCGGGGATCCATGGCAGTGTTGGGCTCCCGACATGGGACACCTGTGGTGCTCTGGTGGGATCCCGGGGAGCACAGCACACCCGTGGCAGGCACACGCGTGGCAGGAGCTGTGTCTGACAGCCTGGCCAGCTGATCTGCACTCTCCCTGGCAGGGAAGCTCTGGGCATCCATCAGTCTGTTAATTGTGCTAATTAAAGAGTGTGGAGGTGTTAATTGGAAAGCCCTGGTATCATGCCTGTTTGGGGGGGTGTCAATAAAAATGAATTGATGACTTTGGCGTGGCGCGTGCACTTCCCAGGTTAGCGGCAAGTCAGGGGGTGTCAAGGAAATGTTACTGCTCAGATTAAGCAATTGTTAATTAAAAAGCAACATAATTAATATACTCTCATTGCCATATGGTACATCTAAAGGCAAGGGGATTCTTTACTTCATTTGTAATTGTTTCTTTTTCTTTGTCCTGTGAAAGGTGTGCATTTAAGTAAAAGAGGGGGGGAAGGCAGGGTGCGTATTCAGTGAAGTGATTTTGAGTCTGAAATGGTAATTAGCAATCCATTTGTGCAGCTTCTGGTGCTCATTGCCATTAGAGGGGTCTCCTCCCCTCCTCTTTTAAGTAAAACCATCCTTTTCCACTTTATCTGGGTGATATCTTCTGCGATGACTGAGTGGGCAGGACCTTTGTGCCTGGAAGAAGGTCTGATCTTGATTAGACCCTCTGGATACCAGGGTATGGAGGATCCCAAAAAGAGTGGATGTGTTTGAACTAGGAGATGAAAAGCTGGAGCTGCGATGGTGCAGAGCTCCTGTCTGTGCACAGGGATGCACGTGTGCTTCAGCACTCAGCAGCCAGGTTTTGCTCTTCCCAACCCAGCTTCAGCTGTCCTAGATCAGTCCTGGCTGGAAAAGTGCTTTTTCCTAATTTAAATCGACTTTATAACATTGCAGACACTGGCTTCATTTTTTTTATATTTTTTTCTTTAAGGTTTTGTAAAACTTTTATATGAATGGAAATATTTTCATTATTATTATTACTTTCTTTTATGACTTCCCGTGCAGTGTTGGGAACCCAGACACACCAGCATCCCAGTAGGGTTTGTGAACGGGAAGTCGAGTTTTACTAGACTTGGAGAGGGAACCCAACTGGCCTGGTGTCCCAGGCTGGGGGAATCACCCGACTGTTTCATCTGCTCCAGCATCCCTGCTCTGGCAGGGGCTGGGACCAGCAGAGCAAGCCCACACTTACGGCTCCTGCACCAGAAGAGATTTCCTCCCAATTCCCAATAGTTAAGCTTCAATTTATGCCCTGAAGCCAGGAAAGTTTTATATCCTTTCCAAAACCTTTTTCTTTTTTCTTTTTTTTTTCTTTTTTTTTTTCTTTTTTTTTCCATTTTTAATACTTCCTGTTGTAACTCTGGATATTCTTGTTCTCCGTATAAAAGTCAAATCCCTTTTTGAATCCTGCCGAGTTTCTGGCTGTGGTGATGCCTTGTGACTGCCGGACACGGGCAGATCCCGGCGTTCCCTGCCTGGTCGAAATGTGGAGGAGGAGGTGGAGTTTTGGAAGGAAAAGGAGAAAAGGAATAATCTAATATTTCTGCAGGGTCTTTTTTTGACATCCAAGAGGGGAAGGAGCAAATGTAGTTTTTGAGGGCCAAAGGTGTTTTCTTTCTTCCAGCTTTTTTGCTCTTAATGCAGCATCTGTAGGAAAGTATCCCGTCCTTTCCCGATCCCGTCTCGGGAAGCTGCTCTGCCCACGCTGTGCTCCCAGCCCAGCACCCAGCTCCTGTGCCTCAAACACAACCAAAACCCAATAATCCCCTTAACCTTGAACTCCTGCAGCCAGTAACGTGTCACCCCATGCACGGGTTTGGTAGTGCCAGGACGGCGGGAGGGAGGGAACCGGCAGCTCCACATGGGAATTAATGTCAGTCATATACCCTGCGGAAATGACTTTTGAAATGCATATAATCTCAAACATGCAAATGAGAAGCTTGCTTCACCCTGTTTAATATGAATGATCAGCTTCTGAATAGCTATTATTACACGCCACATTTCAGCAATTATGTTGTTCGCGGTTTGTCTTTCTGTCTTTTGGGGCGGGAGGGGAGCATGGGGGAAAAAGGAGGAGAAAAAAGGAGAAACTATTTCTTCTCCTCATCCCTCTTTCTTTATTCCCCTTCGGTTTTTAACTCATGGGTTTAGCTGTGAGTAGTAGTGGGTGAATGTGGATTCTGCTCTGGCACCCACCAGTGCTCCGGCACTGTGTCTTCTGCTTTTCCACAGAGGAAAGTGCGTGTTGGGAAGGAGGGAGAGCCCCTCGGTTCAGCTGGAGCTTCCCATGCCCCTGTCCTGATTTGGTGTCAGGCTGGATGTGGCCCCAGAGGCCTCAGCAGTCGCTGGCTGCGGCAGCTGGGTTTGGGGCTGGAAGTGGTGGTTTCTTTTCCTCTGATGTCAGCCCGGATCTGGGAGTTTCTCCCAGAAAATGGGACCTTTGGGTTTACAGCTGACAACCTGCCTGCAAATTAAACCCAACTGAGCAAAGATTCTTCATCTTGATCCTTTGAAACCAAGCCCTGTAGGTCCTCAGGAGTCCCTCCCCTGGCCCACTAGCCTTAATTTAACCCGTATTTAAGATCAGAGGGGTGAGGGAAGTAGGAGGGGTAGTGCTGAGCCCCCAGCTCTCCTGCAGCTGCCCGTGTGCTGGGCTGCAAGCAGCACCCGAGTTGCTTCTCCCAGGGCATCTGAGAGGGCATCTAAGAGCCATAAAGTTTTCTTGGCCTGGTGGAAAACTTTCTGCCAGGTGGTTTTTCCTGCTGGGAAGTGCCGGTTTGCTGGGAGCTGAAACACTGTGGAAACATGTCAACTTTGTGGAGGTTCATGGTGAACTGCATGGCCCAGGCTCCACATGCTTGGTGAAAGTTTCTGACTTAGCTATCTCCAGCATGTCAAAGTGAAGTATTTTGGGGATTGTGTGAAAAATGCCTAGATTCCTGAGGTTTATCTCTTCTATTGGGCTGGGAGAAAACAGAAAACGTGGTGTTTTCCTAAGGGACTGGTTGCACTTGCTTTGCCCTGGTGCCGCACAAGCCCAGCAGCGTGTTCGTGGCAGCTCAGGGTGAGCTGCATGTTTATTTTTTTGGAGCAAGTTGAACCCAGCTAAAACTTCCCAGGATTTGAAATCCTCATCCCTGCATCTCCTTTCAGACCTCCCGGGGATCGGAGCCGAGGCAGGATGAGGGCAGGAGGTGGGGATGCCAGCCCAGGGATTTTAAGCTTCTCTTCTCAACCTCTTCTCTCTCTCCTCTTCCTCAGGTCCTGCTAGCAAGTCATGATGGTTGAATCTGCCTCGGAGACGATACGCTCCACTCCCTCTGGCCAGAACGGGGTCAGCAGCCTCAGCAACCAGCCCGATGGCGGCGGGGGCGGCGCGGGCGGCGGAG